AACTAGGTTCAATGCACCTCTTGACAGAGTGTTTCATTACACACTCCCACCTCACGTTCCTTGGGGCTCTGAGCCAGGGCCACCGACATGGCTCGTGGCTGCCCCCACTTAAATAGCCAGGGTGACCTTTCCATACCCTCACACCCCATGCCAGGGATCCCAAATACCTTCTCCACCTCTCGGGGCTCACCGGTGTGTTCAGGCTTTTAATCTCACAGGAGTCCTCAGATCTGTCCAAGCAGCCCCACTAAGCTGATAAAGGATCGCATTAAAAATGACAGCAAGAAAACATAAAAGCCATGAAAACAAGCTGGCAAAGAAGCGTAGCACCCCAGCTAGGGTGCAGGCAGGACTCGGGTACTGACCCCCTTTTTGGCTCACATCCTCAGAGGTGTTTGGAGAGGAGATCAGAATCCCAAGGGAGAAACAGATGCATCCACTTGGATGCAATAACCTACCTGGGTGCTGCGGGGCCAGGGCCCAGCCCACGCTGCCCAGGGGTCTGGCCCTGCTGCAGCCATCCCCCCCGCCACCCCCCCACCCCGCAGCACGGGGCTGCTGCCTCCTGCCAGCTGGCCCTGCCGGCTCTAGGTGACACATCCTGGGTGGGAGCCAAAGCCCCGCTGCAGCTCCACGACGTTTCTTGCTGGCCTCCTCCAGCAGCTGCCGCTGTGCCAAGGGGGCAAGCAGAGGGCGACCAGGATGCCTGGACTGAGCGTGCCCACCATCTGGCCCACAGCCCCGGGATGCAACTGGGGCCACCACCGCATCTTTGCTCTGGCACACCACACTGCAAGAAGGGAAACAGCGGCGACGTTTTTGAGTAGTGGCAGCTCCTGCTGGTATTTCTGTAAGGTCAATCGGAGCTGAAAAGAGTGGCCAAGCAGCTTTCCCTGTGCCCCAGGCTGGGGCAGACAGGGGACGCGGGCGAGGTTTTGTGCAAGAAGAAAAGCCATGGGGACATTCCCCTGCAAAGCCTCAAAGATATTCCTGAGAGGACTCCAGTTCCTGGCCAATGCCAACATCCTTGCAGCTGCCCCACACCAGGCTGCAAGCCCCTGTAACAGCAGAAGGCACGTTTGTTTGTGGTGGGGTTGTGCACCCTCCCTTTGACCGCCAGTCCCGGTCCCTGGGAGGCCACCGGCAGGAGCTGCCTCCTCCAGCAGCCCAGCTCCCTCCCTCTGCCCCCAAGCGTTGCCACGGGGAAGGATGGAAAAGCCATTCGGCATCCCTACGAGCCGCTTCCCCGCTTGCATGGCTGACCGCCTCCAGCACTGTGGGCTCCCAACCTGCCCAGGGAGAAACCGGACCAAAACAAGCATTGCGGGGGCAGAGGGAAAGGAGCCAGCTTTTTGGTTTTTTTAAAGGGATATTGAAGACTCGAGCGGAGAGCCAGCAGAGTGAAAAACAGCCACGTGGGGACTGTGAAAATAGGAGCTGAAGAGAGGAAGATGGGAAAGGTCTAATAAAGAGAGTCACAGTATATAAAATACATAAGCGCCCACCTCCGCTAGGAAGGCTGTGGGAGGGGGTTTTGGTGGTAATCCCTGGCTGTTTGAGGCTGTCCAGGCAGACAGGGTCTGGATCTCTAACTGAGTCTGGATTAGACGGGGAAAGCTTAGGTTTTCACCCTGTCAACCTGAAACACAATGCTTTTCCCTCACAGCATTTTGTTATTACGTGGCAGAAACGAAGGGAGGTCAGTTGGCTGTGAGAGGATCCTCCAGCCCCAAGCAGCTCTCCCGAGCTCTCAGCCACATCCAGATCCTATATGGAAAAGAAACATTTCCCTCACCTGAGCAGAAGTCACAGCGGGAGGCTCGCTCCTAGAGCGACCCACGGTCCCGCCAGCATCTGCTCAGCCCTAGAAAAACTCCCCAAGTCTCATCCTAGCATGCAATGACCTCGGATCAAAACCTGTGCTGAGCTCCCAGTCCACGCTTGGCCCCGGTGTGGCGCAGGGTCTGGGGGTGGTGCATAGCTGGGTACAGTCATTGCTGCTGTTGAGGCTTCGGGGCCCTTTCCCAACCTGTACCCATGTTGTCCCAGATCAGTCTGGCAGACAGCGGGGACAGAAGGAATCACACAGGTTGTCTATTTGACGAAGGGAATTAAGTCATCAGTTACGCATGAACATTGTGCTAACCTCAGGGGTTGTGTTCTCCCCACTGGAGAAACCCGTTACGACCTCTGAGCTCAAAAAACACAATGCCAAGGAGCAACATCTCGCTCACAGGTAGTCACACCCAGCCCAAGTGATTTGAAGTAGCAGCTTCCCAGCCAAAGGAAACTTATATTTCCTTATCCTTTAGCTATAAATACAGCCGCGCTGCTTTCCTGACCGTGTTATTCCTACGGTCCTTATCACACGTGCTCTGCCGCAGCACAGTCACACACTTCACAGGCATCTTGCTCCCCTATTCCCAGCTTTTCCAAACCATTTACGTTTACAACCCCCTGTGTCTTGAAGCTCTTCTATGGCAACGGGTGACCCTGCCTGGGACCTCCACATCCGTACTGAACAGGTCAGCAAATGAATTTGTCTTCCTTTTCCCCTTCATTGCCATGCAGGGACCTGGCTCACAGTCAGGGATGAACTCAAATGTCACTTCTGATAAACATTTATTTTTGGTGAGGAACATGATGAGTTTATAGGAGGTGGAGTGGGCCAGTGAGACGTAACAGGCATGCACCAAGTGTTGCAACACCTTGATGCTTCTCAGTGCTTCTGAACACCTTGGTCTCCCTCAAGGGTCACGTTGTCTGGTCCTCAGGGTGTTTTAAACACAAGGGAAAAAAATGCATTGGGGAGAAGGATTCCCAAGGTCTTGGGCTGGAAGAGATACCATGTTGAAACAGCACAACAGTGCTTTCAGGTGGCCTGCATTGCATCAGCCTGGAGACCAACGGGAAACACCCCCGAGCAAAGGGTCTGAGATGAGACAACGGCTGGCTGAAGGTGCCATCATTTTTGCACTGCCCAAAGCCAGTCAAGACTTCACCTGCCACATCGTCAGCTTTGGACCATAGCTTCGTTTCCCTCAATGGGTTAGCTTGCAGGGTGGGGGAAATTTTTTACAAATAGCTTCTGCATCTGTAGGATATTTGATGCAGACAAGCAAGTTTGACAGGTGAAAAGGAAGCCTGAACCTTTATGAGACATTTATTATTATTATTCTCCTGAATCAAAGCTGTCCTTCAGAAATACTATGAGCTTAACGGAATGAGCAGGTACCTAAGCATCACGAGAAACCCAGCACCAAGTGCTGCTACGGCTTCACAAGGGATGTGAGTATCTGTAACCAAGTGTTACGATCTTGATGCTGAACTTCTTGGGCGATTCATCTATGACACACATGGCGCAGGGGGTCACATTCGGATGGCCTCAAAAATCAGTGAATCTCTTTTTTTCTTTGCTTTACATTCAAGTTCTAAGTTTCCTTCTCCAAGCTGGCTCAGAAACACCAGGAGGATATTCATTCCTGTGGTTTTATGGCATTTATATGTCAAGTCTAGGCAGGAACTTGAAAATGGAGTAGTGCTATGATTTGTGTTCCCATTGAAGGGAAAAAGGTTGAAATTAAACAGGGTTGAACTTGATTTTGATCTGATCATTGGAGAAGAGATACTTAGAAAACATTTAATTTGTACTGTCTTTTAAATTTAAACCAAAATTGTTCCTGTTATTTCTTTCTGGGACTAAAAAGAAAGTCCAACAGTCCTGATCTGGACTAGTCAAATCATGCATTTTTCAGTGTTCTACAAGTCTGGATCCTGGATTTTAGTTCTTTTCCATCACAAACCTGTATAGCTTTACCTCTTGCCTTTACAAGCCGCAACGTTACAAATCCATTTTAGTCTGACAAGAGACTGTACCTCCTATGTCTGTACACAGGTCTAAATACACTGATTACAAGACAACATTACCTACAGCAAAGAGAGACACCTTCATCAATTCATCCACCACTGTTGACCATGCTTAAATACACTTTGGTATGCATACCCCCAGACACTGTGACAGACCTCACACTGGGCAAAGAGAACCAAAGGAGAAACCATAGAAAATGAAAATGCTGCTTTCAGATGCTCATCCAGACGCAACTTTCCCTGCCTCTTTCTTCTCAAGATGAGCTTCAGCCACTTAGTTTGGATATACACATTCAAACTCTCCCAAAACTTCACCGACTTTGGATGTGAGTGGTAGCTGGCACTTCTCTATTTTTTTTTCTACTCAGTCAAATGCATCAAAAGACAATGAGGAAGGCTGCATGATTCATAGTAATGGAATGAAATGCCATTCACAAATGTTTTTTCCATAGCAGTTTGTCACTTATTGTATTGAAACCACTTCAGAAGATGTGTCTCAAAGAGCCTTTTGATATTAGCATGATTAAAAACATAACATAATTAAGCAATCCCATCATATTTCTGTATGTTACACGAGCAGGACCTTGAGTGACCACTTCATTCAAACCCCTGATAAATGGCCGCTTCTAACAGAAGGCTGTTATTCCGCAAGATGCCTCAAATAGTTGTATAACACCAAGGAATTCAAATCTTCTCACCCCAGAGGAATTTTGGCTCACCAAAATTTAGCTGTCCAGCTTTGGTGTTGGGTCTAGCCTACGTGTCTCAAACCTTTTCAAATCAGCCAAGAAAGATACACCTCCCAAGAGCCATTCTGCCTACTTCAAAAGTAATGTCTAAAATTAATGGGAATATTTGCCCTCTAGATGTATCTTTCTCTCTTTATCGACTATCCAGATGTCTACCTGGATGTCTATCACTTTTCCTGCTGTTTCGGTCATATGCAAAGTTAGCATTTACATATGTACCCGACTTGTTACCCACATCTGCGTATTGCTTTCCTATACCTCAAGCATGCTGTTAGGCAAGCATGCATAACTTTGCATTCATATACTACACAGCATTAAAAAAGCCTTCAACAAGACGTAGACGAAAAAGGCCCTTCCAAAGTGCTAGCTGTCCCAGATCCCTACCTGCCGGGCAGTTGCATCGCTGGTGCGTGTCTCGAACTTCTCGATGTCTCGGCAAGTGGAACTTTAATTTCTGCCAAGGGAGGAAAAAAGAGCAAAAGGATTCATTAGTACCATTGAAACCAAAGCCTCAAATTCTTAGAAAAGAGGAACTGGGGGGTGCTGCCCGAGTAGAGATGGGAAAGACAGAGCAGAACAGTTTGGGAATGAAGAAAGGCATTAAAGTTCATAGTCTTTAACTAGAAATGTGGCATTTGATTGGAAGCAGGCTGAGGGAGTTTCGTAATGGCCTCCAAATGTGGTCCTCCTGACAGGCATTACAAAATCAAGAGCCAGCAGTGGCGAATGAAGAGGTGATTGTGTCCTCATGAGAAAGGCACATTTCCCAGAAGACCCACTCAGCAGATGGAGATCTGAAGCAGGTACTCTTCCCCGCCCCGAGGCAGACTCCTTATACTCATGGAGACACCTGGACAGACAGAAGGGTCCCACTGAAAAATAGCAGCTGAAGGTGGCCTGAAAACAACAATGGCATTTCCCAAAACCTTCAGAGGCTGTGAAGCTTAATCTCTCTCCAAGTGCAGAACAAGACAAAACCTATCAAGAGCTTCCACAAGGTGGAATTGCATCAAAGTGCTCATTTCTGATGATTTTGGCTTTCTAGTGGTGCCAGCATGTCAGTCTCCTGCTCTCTGGTCCCATCTGTGTATCTCTTAAAGAGGCAATAGTGTCCACCTGAGGCTACTGCACCTTCCCTCACTGGAAATGTCATTAAAATTGACCCACGAACTGAGCAAAATGCACTTTAGGGACAGCATCCACACCACCCCCCATAGACTTTATTAGAATAACTGTGAATTAGTGAAGAAAATGCAAATCAATCCAAATAAGTTATTCATTAATGCCTGTGAACCACACCTGGTTAATGATTTGAGATGATTTGAGAAGCCTGAGCCACTGGGGTGCCTACACTAAGGAGTCACTCCCTCTTCCCTTCTAACCCTCAAGCCCAACTGTTCATCCCAGTTACATCTTCTTATTGCCAGACCTACCTGACAACCAGGGACAACATTTCAAAAGAGAGCGCCTTATGTTGGGCTCAACAGAAGCCTATGCCCAGGATCATATAGAAATGACTTGATTTTTACAACTAAGTGAGCACCTTCCTGCAAGAAGGTATCAAAATTTGGGAGAAATTTCTTTTAGAGAGAGAAAAAAAAAAATAAAGTGACATATTTCTGCCAGGATGAGGAAAGGGAGAACTGGCTGGAACACTTCCATTTTTCACTTTGAAAGTGAAAAATTTGACTGGCTTCCTTACTGCAAGTCAAAATCAATAAGGGTTGTTGTGACTGACTAGAAATTGAATATTTTCAGAGCTTTTTTTTGCACGGTAGACTAAAATGTTTTGATAGTGAGTTGACTTGATCTCAGGGCGAGGTGAGGGTTTCACGTGAAGAGAATTGCCAGTTCCCATACAGCATTTTATCTGTGTTTACTGTCTCAGTTTAAAAACACAGATATGCGAATCTCTGCATTTGGGCAGGTTCGCATCTAGCTGCCACCCCCAGATGGCATGGCTCTGCTCCACAGCGCTGCCTGGCTTTGAACACTTTGTGCTAATGGTCAAACATGGGCATAAATAGGACAGCGGAGCCTTTATTTGGACAGTCGCGCTGGTATGTAGACATACGCATTCCCCTTTCCATCTACACATGTGCCAACCAAAATGTCTGAACACGAGACTGCCACATTTGGGTGGGGTTCCCATATTGGGGAATCGGGCTTAGCACAGGGAAGGGGTGATGGTTCACACAGGCAGGAGCAGTAAGTCATTTCCTAACCAGCAAAGGTCCGACATGCTGCAGCAGGGCCCTTTATAGAAAAGGAATCTGCAAGGAACCATGCAACAGATCCCTGCCCCACCAAGTGCAGAGGCACCCCAGGGGCCAAGGGGGAACATCCCGGGGGGAAGACATAGTCCAGGTTTGCTGCAAGAAGCCTTGGCTGGGTTGTTCTGCCAGCACACAAGTTGAGGAACAGCATAACCAGACTTACCAGGAGAAGTGATGACCCAGCAGGACTTGAGTGCAACTGGGAGAGGAAGAGGAACGACAGCATTTCCCCACAACTTTACCTGCAGGCGGTGGAAATACCTGGGACAACTGAAATAACCTTCTCAAGGATGGGGGCCCCTCGGGTGGGCTGGACTGGGAGCACAGCCCCCAGCACCGGTACCGTCCGGCCATCCAGCACTCGCTGGCATTGGGCATTTTCCCCATCTCCGGCCATCACGGTGCCTCCCTGGAGCCCAGGAGCTCTGTGCGTCCCTGGGGAGTGCAAAGGGCAGTGGTGCCGTGGGATTGCTCCCCTTCAGTGGGAGGCAAAACCTACCAGGAATTTAGGAGCGCCTGAAGTTCAGTTTTCTGCACAGTCTATTAAACAAACATTGACTGCAACAGAAAAAATCCTTGGCTTCTGGAGACCTCAGTTCAACTTTGGGTTGAGATGGCGAAACAAAACGAATTCCCAGCCTTTTCTGCTTCCCTCATTACCACTCTGCAAAATACCGCCTGGTCCAACACGAGAAGCTGGCTTTGCTCAGGAGAGCAAAAAGAAAGGGCTTTCCTCTAAAACTGGCCTTTCCAAGACAAAACTTCCATTCCCAAAAAACCATTCAATTTTAGGGCAAGGTTGACTTTGGCAAGCAAAAATAAAAGAACATGGTCTCTGGGAATCCAGGGTTTGCGACCTCCTTTCTGGGATCTGGGGTTTGCTTTTTCACCGGGGTGAAGACCTAGAGCATGAAACATCAGAGCAGCAACTGGCTACCTCTTGACCTGGCAGAAATGCTGGAAACACTTCTTACTGAGAGGATCAGCTTGTCAGCATAGCCTGCTTGCTCTTGCCTGTCACGTTTTCCAGTGACATAACGGCTGCACCTTCCCCCTACACAGATGAAAGTGGCTGAAAAAGCCTTTGCCAGCACTGGGACCACAGCTGACCGGCTCCCACGTGGGGAATGCGTACCTCTATGTATTCAGGGAGCCACCACACATTCCTGAGTGCAGAAGAAAGGGGAAAACCCTCCGCCTGCAAGAGGGCAAGGGCAGGAGGGTCGGGCCGAAACATGTGCTGGAAACTGGCAATAAAGCTAGCACGGGCTTTTCCCGTGGGTTTTGTTAACTCGCCGCTAGCGTGACAGGACGGGGCTGGCTTGAGCGGACAGAGCAGTGAAAGCAAGACCTCTTCTGACATTAAAGGACCATGGCTGTGGCCTCCTAAACCTTGCAAGTGCCTGTCTATATTGGATGGGCACTTGAGATTAGGTGAAAGAGAGGGCACTTCTTCAAGGGGGCAGATTAATAGCTCTTTAGCAGGCGTAGTTGTTTGCAGTCACCCGGGGAGGTGAAATCATTTCCCACCACTATCTCCAACAGCTAAAAGCAACATGTCTCAAATAGATAATCTATTACAACCATCAGGAGGATTTCAAGGGCCAGTGGTTTTGTTAACTCTCATTGTTTTATCTCCAATTTAGCTGTTTTTTCTTAAAGGCCCAGCTCCTGGAATCACAGGACCATAGAGCAAAAGCAAGCAGCAAGCTCTCCTAGACAGAGCAAAAAGTTTGGAAATAACACCATCTAGGTTCAAGGATTGCAGGCACCTGGAAGGCTACCAGAGGAATTGAAAAAAAAAAAAATATAGAAAATCATGATTTTGGGGTGGAAAACACCGAGCTAAAGATGGAGACAGGGGATGCTTAGAGCATCTTGCTGACCCTGGGAAGCAGAATCGAGTAGCATGCTATGAGATATGGAAGCAATAGGAGGGAAAAAAAAAAAAAACCAACTTTAAGTTGGGAGAGAAGGGGAGTTTTCAGGTGTCCCCTCCTTTGCTTGCATAAATAAGGAGACAGTCCCAGGGAAATGAGCCTATTGGGAAAGCAGAGAGGATCAGTGCTCCCTCCCCACCCGCGGCACAGCCCCTGAATCCCTTGAGCATCACTAAAGACACAACAAATACCTTCAACACAATCCCCCCGAGAGGCTGAGCGCACTCATCACGGTGCAGAGGGGCAGCTGATCTTCCCCCAGGCATTACAATATAACTGCTGTTGTGTTACACACAATCTCTACAAGCACACAAATTCTGGGGATTTTTTGCAGCAGCACGGAATCCATCCTGCTCTCCACCCTGCCGAGCTTTTGGCAAGTAAAATAGTACCAAATGTTACCCAGCATGGGAAAGGACCTTGTTTTTCTTCTTTGGAAAGTTTTGCCGTTCCTGTAAATGCCAGTAGTGAGTTTATTTGTGCTCTTTGTATGAATTTCTGATGCCCCATAAATGCAGTGGAATTCCCAAGCAGAGCTGAAGTTCTTCCTGAACTACCTGCCTCTGGCCCATTCCACACAAACGTTTTTGTGGGAAAGCTTAGTCAATTTGTGTCTGGTAGAAAATTCCTCTCTGGTATTCGCTGACACCAGGCAGAGGTTCACACAGTAGCGAGGGAAGCAGCACTGGCCAGGCTGCTTCTGGGAACGCATCTGCTGCCCTCTCCTTGCTCATCCTGAACTGAGATGGAAACACTGCCACAGCCAGCCACGGGTGCTCCGAGACCAGGAAAACATCCCCACCAGCTGGCTTAAAATTAACGTTTTAAACAAACCAACCTAGCTCCTCTCCCTGCCAGTTTGCTTCATTTTTGCTTGTCCAGAAGAATGGCACCTAACAGGATTTTGGCATTTTGCACTGTTCAGTTCAATCCATACAGTGTCCCCAGAGCTGCTCGCAGACCCCCGGGGGACCTGCAGGGCACACCTGGGCACAAATGCGACACAGTTTAGAGGGCATCACACACTCCAGCTCGGAGCATGGAGGAGTACGGATTTTGAGCATAACCACAGCTAGCTCCTCTATCAGCCCTCACAGACTTTGCTTCTTCATGTCCCTCCGGCTGATTGTCACAGCCACCAGAGCAGCTAGAAATGTGCTCCTGTGCCCATGGCTCCCCTCACCTCTACCTCCCCTGCCTGGCTCAGGCCAGCTCTTTCCAAAGCCAGGGTTTCTTTAAAGCTTTGCTATTTTATTTTGTGATGGATAACACTGAGCTGGCAGCTGTGAAACCCATTAAGGTCAAAACACCAGGAAACTCTGCGAGGATGTGGCAGTGAGAGGCAGCAAGGGTCTGAGCAGGGGGGGATGAATATCCCGCTTTCACGTCCGTCACAGCTAGTCCGGCTGCAGCCCCTCTTTCCCAGTCTTGCTCAGCACTCTCTCCTGCTTTCCTCATTTTTCTTTTCCCATCCTTTCCCTGCTCCCCTTTATCTTTCCTGTTTTTCTCCATCCTTGTCCCTCACCAGCCAGTCCAGGGGACCCATCCAACTTAACCCCACTTCAGACCTAATGAAAAGGAGGACCAGGGGGATTTGTTTTTCTTTCCTAAGCAAAAGCCCCATATGCCACCCCACCATCTGTCCACCAGCAGACCCCCACCCTGCACCTCAAGCTGCTTGGCCCACGCCAGTGCCTCTGGCTGAGGTGTGGAGGTCTGAAGTAGCCAGTTTAGGAGCTTAGCTGAAGCAGACGGGAACTGAGGAAGGTCTTCCCCAGGACCCTAGCCCTCAAGCAGTGGTTTCTGTCCCCATGGCTGCTCCCTGCACTGGCTGCGGGGGTGCTGGGGTCACCCCCAGGGGCTCAGGAGGGGCTGCTCAGAAAACAGGGGTGCTGCCAGGCACGTGGGCATCACGAGAGCCCCATTTCCTTGCTAAGCCAGGCTATAAAAAGGCAGAAAGGTGCTGCAGCCAGCAGAGCCAGCAGGACACCAGGGGCCATCCGGCCCCGGGCACGGCTCCCAGGAGGCATCCTGTGGCACATCTCAAATCACTTGGTAGAGATAAACTGCGACTTCCCAGGAGACTCATGCCAGCAGTGACGAGGGGAACGCTGCACATTATCCCCTGCCTGGTGGTGGGGAAGGAGTCCCTGCACAAGGGTGCAACCACAGGGCACGGGTCCAGCCACTTGCAACACTTCTGCCTCCCCAAAAAGCCTTTCTCTGTGGGGTATTGCCCCATAGACTCTGTCTCTCCCCGTATTTCTCATCCAAGGGGCCACTCAAAACCGCATCCCTCAGCTCCTACGGTGTTTGCAAATTCTAGGTTCATAGCTTTTGGCTGCAAACCCCAGTCAATCCAGGGACTGCCCCCACAAGACCCATAAACGGTAGCAGAGCCTGTCAGCTGTAGGTTTCAACTCCTCACGGCAGACCTTCGCTGCTCCTAGAAAGCATGGAAAGGTCCCCAGGTCCCCGGCAGCACTGCCCCAAGGCAGGTACCGATAGCCACCACTCTGATCATCCCACTCCTCGCCTCATTTGGCAATAGCAGCACACAAGATTTTTTCAGAGACAAACCATTCTGGGGCTAGCCCTGGGGATCTCTGCAGCCTACCTCATGCAAAGGCTGGAGTAAACAGAGAAAAGGAGAGGTGGGTAGAAACAGCCCCAGCCCTAAATCTTAGTCCCAAGCCTCCCCCAGAGCTGTGGGAACAGGTCAGTGTGGACCTGCCTGGAGAGTTCAGAGACGTGAGCCACCATCTGCTCCCTGACGCGTGTCAGAACTGCTTCAAAGCCCCGGCAAGGCAAAGAATCCTGCAGGATACTCATCCTGCCCAGGGCAGAGGAGCCCAGGCAGTGCCCAGCAGCATCAGCACAGTGAAGTAAAAGGTGTCAGCAACAAAAATCTGCACTTTTGTGCCCTCTTTACTGACCTGCTGAAGCTCAGGCTTCTTCAGCAGCAGCTCTCCATCACCCTCAGAGGAAGAGCCCGCTGGCATCAGTGGAGTTTGGATGGGGCACAAGCAGGCATAGCATAGCCATATGCTCTGCACTGATGCTCCGGCAGTACCAGAAACTATCCTGGCAGCACCAGTGTGTCTCATTTTCCTGAGCCAGGAGCTGTGGAAGGGGTCAGGGCGGGCATGGCAGCAAAGCCAGCCCG